CTTGCCTTGCTGAACTCGTGCACGCTGCTTCAGCTGTAGCTGGTCATCTTTACATCATGTTGGCAGCGCACGACCCCTCAAGAAGGGATACCATATGCTTCCATTTCTTGATGCCCACTCAGGAAACAGAACCTGAATTCTTTGTACTACCTCGCTAGCCTGCGTCTGAAATGAACGTCCAGAGGACTGAATTCCCAAGGGGGCCTACTCCTCTATGTGCAACTACGAAAGCCTCTGGACCTCAAGTTACTGGTGGTTAATAGGGAATGAGGGAATGTAAATCCCTAATTCCCTGCCAAGTCTTTACATACCCCAGCAAAGGCCATGCAAAGGCTGGCAAGTTCGGGGAGCCATATCAACCCTGACCACGGATCGCCCCAAAACCATGTACTAAGTGCGGCCTACTCCAGAGAGGTCCCGACACCCAGAGGCGGTACCTAGGACAGACCTTCGGAATCCCATCCTCACAACATTTTCAACCTCAAGTCCATCCCTATAAGTCCTCTGCTAAGTTGAAAGAGAACTGCCAGGACCCCTTTCTGTAATCCCAGCATAGCTCTTGTACCATCCTATACACCCGACTTACCATGTTTGTCAGAAAGGCCGATCCGACCGTCAAGATCTGCTTGTTGGGACCATGGGCTGAGATTATGGCCTGTCATGATCATGATCATATCTTTAAAGGGAACAGCAGTCATAGGGATGTAGAGGGTTTAAGGTTTAGGGATATTACTCCATTTATGGACAATTAAAATGATAAAAGAGTGAGAAATGAAATGGACACTGGGATTGCATCGTGTTTGCTAGTTTTCAACAATTATGGCTTTGCTTTCAGTACTGTACCCTGAATATCTCGGGCCGTGATAGGCATGGGCCCCCCATAAGGGACCATACTTTTAACAAACCACCTCGTGGCTTGCTTTTGGGGCTGCGTTTCAGGGTCTGTGGATTTAGGTTTCGCAAGTTTTCCTGGTGGTGGTTGGGTGCACGCAGGGTGTAAGTAGGTTACAGGTTTCGGGAGTGGAGATGAGTGTCCTGGGCACCAGGCCCCTATTGTATGCATCTCTGCTGTGAGGGACCGTTTCAGCTGCCATCTGGTTGTGGTACCTACTTGGGATAGTTTCCCAAAATAGTGGGACCCCAATATAGATCCCGATATACTACATGTAAAGTCCTTGTTATAGGAACCAGTCAATTCAAACGGGACCCCTAGTTTTGTGAAACCCCTTTATCACCTGGGCAAGCTATACCGACCCTCGCCAAACCTCATCCTAATGGGTGGTCTGTAGAGAAATGGTTCCAAATTGGCTTAGATGAAGATTCTGACGCTATCGTAAGATAATTTTGTTACGCTTGAGTAGTAAGTGGCCGATCAGGGGAACCCTAAACCCTAAACCCTAAACCCTAAACCGTTCCCTAAGTCCAGGGCCTCGCAAAATTGTCACAATTGTATATAGCTCTTATCAGCTAGGAAAAAACAGCAGTACTAGCCACACTAAGAATAATCATAATGCTAGAATAGCATTTGGGGGGTGTATGTGTTCGGGGTCACAAGTTTTCGTGTCTTCCAAGGGGAGACAAGGGACCCTTGCAGGCGTCCAAGTGTATTGCTGTAGGCATGGCGGACCGACGGAACAAAAACCTTACCATCTAGGGGGTGGCCGGATTTGGGTGTCTGGGCCATCTGTCCTATCGTCTACACTCCCTAAAGCGGGTTTAAGGGAATATTTAGGCGAATGCTATAGGGGTTACTACCGGGGACACTAAGAGCTTAGACTACAGCTCACATGCTTCAGAAGGCCTTAGATACATGTCGTTACTTCAGAAACTTCACTTTTGTCATATTCGTCACAATCAGAAGCCCATTAAGAGATTGGCAGGGCCGAGAATGCATAGGCTAGAGACTGCTGGTGATTGCTAGCGCGGCTGTATGCACAAGTCGCGTACGCTCTTTTCCTTCATGGTTTTGCAGCGCGGCCGCTTCCTCCATATTAATTTGCTGAATCTAGGTAGAGAAAATTCAAGTTACAACACGGTATGCTATCTTCTTCATAACCACTATGAATTATGAAAACAGCGCGTGCTTTGGATTGTGCTTACCTACTAGCATCAAACCCCACTTTCCCATATCCCCCCAGTTGTTATTCTATTTTCCTTTCCCCCGTTCACGTGTTTTTCCCATCAATGATTGGGGGTAATATCCCTACAGCCTAAAGCCTATATAGCCTCTGTAACCCCTGTAAAGGCATCCTGTATACTCAGGCCATTAGTGGCTTCCGGGCCACAAGGGGAGAAGCGTCCCACTGGCTGCACCGAGTTTTTCAAGCTCTTCGTCAGGCGGAGTTTCAATGCCAGGGTGATGCAGAGGCTTGAATGATCACATCATTATTTCCTTGTACTCGTCATATGATTCGGGGATGATATACTTGAAAATGCTCCCCGAACAGAACTTTTTATGATAAAGCTCAGCGCACCGCATTCGAAATGTAGGATTGAGATTTGATGCCCAAAAATTGATGCAGTAAGTACTATGCGCCGACGGGCTGAAAAATAGTAAGCTTATACTATATTCAGGATTTGTCAGGATTTGTTCAAAGTACGTACTCAGACAGCCGCGTGTCGGAGGTGTGGACTGCATGCAAAGCGGTATCTCGCAATTGTAAACTCCAAGCTCTGTTGTCCGCTGGTCTTCACAGTCCAGGCATGTGATCCAATCAAGCAGTAGCCCATTCACCAAACAAGAATGTACATTGTAGAGTTGACATTGCGTTGAAAGAGACACTGTTGCACACATGGAGCGTGAGCGCACGTTCTTGCGTCCCCAGCTTCCTACTCCCAGAACATATCCTGGAGAACCGTTGTTGGAGGCGCTTGCCACCCCCTTTGGCAGTGGACCAGCTGTTCAAAATCCTGGAGGAGTTCGAGGCTACGGGTTGTCCCGAGCAACCTCAGCAATGTATGGGGGTTATAATTGGACCTACAGTGACCTACAAGGGATTCCCTTACTAAACCCATCTGTCCTGTACCCTCTGCCTGCGTTCGGCAAGTGAACTCACAAGAGGGTTGGACAAACAAATTGTGACTTTTCTATCTTCAGGCTGGCATTTGGTTAGCTGGGAACGAAGGAATGGAAAAGAGAATGGAAACTACTATAACAGGTTATATAGAGACTGCTAGAAGGATCCATTCCTTCATTCCTAGCTAACCAGAGGCCAGTACCCTGCAGGCTGGCACCCCAGCCTACAAGTTCGTGCAGAGCGACATCTGCAAATCCAGCAATGGCCGCCATGCCACTCGGCAGCATGACGCCTGCAAAACGGCCGGAGTGGAAAGAATGGCTGCGTGACGCTGCAGCCAATGCTGTTGCATTTGAGCTGCTGCTGCTGCTGCTGCTGCTGCTGCTGCTGCTGCCACCAAACCCAGCACCATAGCCGCCACCGTTAGCATCTTCAGTTGCTAGTAACTGCTAGTTACACTGTACCATGAACATGTTGACAAGCCCTGGCTTCAAACATGAGCACAGCGGCTGCTCCTGCTGCCGTCACTACGGCCTACAATGGCAGGAACATAGACAAACAGCGACGTTCCTTGCCAATGCCAGCTTCACTGCAGGATGACCTCATGAAAAGCGTCTTCAAGAAGTATTTGCTCAAGGAGGACGAGGCCAACAGTGACCTAAACCTGCAAATCCAAATATTCCTTGGGGTGGGGACGGACTTAATTTCCATAGCTGTCTTCACTTGTATGCAGCCGTCCATGCCACTTGTTCATGTTTGTCCCGTTCACATTCTTGCACAACTTCGGGCGCCTCTGCTGCCTAGAGGCACCCCGGCTTTTGCGCTCAGATTCTGATGGTGCTAGTTGTGCTCCATACCTGTGACCTTGGCAATGACATCTATAGGACGACCAGGGAGACTGACAAGAGTTTTGTGAAGCTGGCCAAGCCCTTCAAAATAGACACTTCATTAGATGGGGTTTAGGGTTTAGGGGTGTAGAGGGTAGACACCACGGGTACATGGGAGTTCCTTAACTTAATCCCAATAGGCCTTTTCAAAGAGAGGCCTATGCTCCGCATATGCTTTGGACATGCATATGTGTGTATATGAGGTGTTGCCAAGATTATGTTTCCTCTTGGGGTCCTCCAGACCCTATAATGCATTGCCAATGATTTATAAGTAGATAGAAGTAGGAATAAGGAAAATTAAGTGGAAACTGGTGTACATAGTCATTTCTAGGGATTCTCTGAATTCTCATTGAACTTGCCAGCACAACGCAGCTTCCCCGCACCTCCCTAAACCATAGACGCTGCATCTACTTATCTATTTGACATTTGAAGCGGAACTGTACTTAGGGGAAGGCTGGTGTAAGGTAAGGCCACGTAGTGCGAGTAGAGAGGGGGGAGGGGCGGAGTAGGGGCAGTAGCAGCAGTAGAAGCAGCAGCAAGCCCCAGCTACACCTCAAGCCCTTGCCAGAATGCTGAAGTGGTTCTTTGCAGGGCCCGGTGAAGGCTGCGGAGATGTTCCAGGTCCTTCTGAAAGATGCCCGATCCAGGGTAGCTTGGTCGTGGAGGGCTTAGGGTTTAGGGTGTATATTTGCTGGAGGTTAGTAGGGAATAAGTGAAGATATCACATGGTGTTGTTAAAGAGATTATGTTCTCCTCTTATTTCTACCCCAGTAAGTGTAGGGTTCAGGGTGAGCATATCTTGAATTGCTACGAGTGCCATGTTGATCTTGCTGTTTGCTACGTGACATCAGTATGGTTGCTTTGCGGAATTCTCTGACGTCTTCTCTGAAGCACCGGTGACCTTCTCTTTATGGGGGCACAGGATCAGAGGAACCGTAGCGGAACCCAAGCCTCGCTGATTAGCTGCGGGCCCTAGGAATTTCACATCTTACAAGCTTGAACTCCCGTTAGCTATGAGACCTGCGGCACACCAGAAACATTACCAACGGAGGAGCAGCCCTTCTCGTTTTGCTCTGTGGAAACCATTTGTCTGAACATCTTGATCTTCAAGAGCATAATGCTTCATCCCCTACACTTTGAGCACCGAATTCAGGAAACAGTTCAAATTCAAGGCGTAAGTAAGCTGTTCAGTTTGGCAGTCGGAGTTCTGCCTCTGCTAGGTGTGCTTTTATTAGACAAGTTCACAGTAGACTATATGGAAAGGAAGGAATTTGTGCCTGTGATAACTCAGCGGTTTTGTGATCTGGTTGTTGAAGTCTTGCGGGCTGAGGATATCATCCAGACCTCCTATGACACACTCCTGGAGCACTTAGAAGGCGCCCTGTGGGGTTAGACTCCTCGATAAGTAGATAGAATGGCTTTGGGTATATTAAAAGAAGATCCCCATATACCCTATATTCTATCTACTTAAGGGGGACTCTAAGGTTGCTTTGGAGTTTAAGCCTGAACTTAGCCCCAGAGCCCTGGAGTTTCGGTTGCAGAGTTGTGTACGACTTCAGGTTCAGGCAGCTGCTTGATCAAGGGCTTTTGTGCATGCGGTTTCGTCGGATGGCTTGTCCACTCTATCCCGCGCCGCTGCCGCTGTCATTTTGTAGAGATTGCAAATGAGCCTAGAGAGCATCGTTCCAGTTCTGCCTCTTTTGCCCAAGCCATGCACGTGCTTGCCACAGAAGCTAAGACCTGCAACTGATCCTGGGCTGTCAGTGTTCAGGCAATACAGTGCTTGACCCAGGTGCCCTTAAGACTGTAGACCTGCATCATGGGGGTGGTGAATATTAACGCCCCTCATGCTTGGACACTTTGTGCGCATCACGTCATCCAGTCGTTTGGGGCCTAGACGGCACAACTGCTTCTGTGATACTTTTGCACCATGGCTGGAGCATGGGTGGAAACACAGCTAGATGTGCGAAGTGAAGAAAAGATGAGGCTTGTACTAGTGTGCTCAACCGTCCCCAACCCACCTGCAATCATGAAGTCCCCGGACGCAAGTCTTCTTGAAGCTGCGACCAGGGATCTCTTTAGTTCCGGGGGTCACAAGAGACTACATGAGCTATAGTTTAAACTCCTGACGGGGAGTTTTTGGGGGGGACGCTTATAGGGGTTATTCAGGGGGATACTAGGAGTTTGGACTATGGCTGACATTACCTTGGTGGCATGAGCACAGGCAGGGTCGACCATAATTAAGGCGAAAGGCGCATTCAGGCCGTCCTTGAGACTGCAACGACCTATACCCTTAACATTGCAGCCTCCAACCCAAGTGACCCAGCACCGTGAAATCCAAGGAGGACACGCAAGTGTGAAATCCCGAAACGAGGCTACGTGCCAAAGAGGCTTCCATGTTCCTTTGGGGAGAATACGTCCTATACATCCCTCTTCACCACATGATCCCTATAAGCTCCCTGACAGGAAACCCTGTTCCGGCGAAAAAAATTGAGCCCGTCCCATGAAGTGCTGGTTGTTAGTAGGCAGCTGAGGAAGGGATGCCCGCAGTACGTAGCCCCTATTGCACTCCAATAATGCTGCAGTTTCTGTTCAGCCCCCGAGCCCCAAACAGTATATTTCTATGCTCTTTTGTCAGCTCCCTCCATTCCCAACTCACAGCCAACAAGTTAAACCTACGTTCTCTACTATAAGTCCCGGCGCTCCTGTTCATTGAATTACTTGCTTTCAACTTGAAAAACGTTTGCGCCTTAAGCTCCACTAGTAACCAGCAAGATGACAACCATCTCTTCATAACCGCTATGTAAGCCCTATATAACCTTTACATAGTCCTTACATGAACTCTATATAGTTCCTACATAACCTCTACACATTCTCTAAATAATCCCTACATAACCTCTACATGTTCCCTATGGAGTCCCTGGAGAATCCCTTGATGACCCTCGCCTTGCAGATCACTCGGAGTTGGGTTTGCTTCAGTCTGTGGTCCAGCGCATGGGACCTTCGGTCTTCATTTAGATGGGCAGATTTCCAGCATCTAGGGATCCTTTTTAAAGGGGTTGGGTTTCCAAAATACAACGGTTCGCAAGGGGCGTTTTTGGGATATGTAGGGTGGATACTGTATGGCTCAGGAATTTCCAGCTTCCAATAATTAGCGGCGCCTTTTTCCGCAGTCCGCCTAAAGAGGGATAATTTATTACATAGGGGTCTACATTAGGGCTTCCGATTTCTGGCATCCATTACATGATTGAGGGGGGCAAAGGGGTTTGGGGTTCAGAGCTTATTTCATGTCAGGGCCCCAAGCTCTGGGTTGATCAAAGTGTATGAAGGCTTATAATTTCCCCTTAAGTAGATAGAATATGGCGTTGGGTTTGTTATGATAAGATTCCCATATACCCTATATTCTATCTGTTTAAGGGGGACTATAAGTACCACACCGTGGGACCCTTAAGGGCAATGCCAAGGGACCTTCTCAGGGGTAATTCTGCAGTGAACAGTAAAGAGACCTGCACCTCGCAGAACTCAGCGTGCAAACTGATCCAGTCGGAGCTCCTATCCGTGCCTCCTGCGCCGTTGCCTCTATCTGTTTCGCCCAAATGCCTGCTTTCTAGCAACAATGTAGGAATGCAAATGAGCGTGTGCCGACAGGATAGTATCTTAATTGGGATCCCCGTCCTTCCACGACAAGGCAGTTTCGCTACTTCTTGCATCGAAGCTCTAACCTTATAAGGTTTGGACATTTCAGCCCCATCTTATGCCAAGATTCAAGAATTCTTGGATTTTGAGATGTTGTGAAGAGAACTAGGCTTTTGTTGAGGGAGATGCTACTGTAATCGTAACCCCCTATCGTGATCTCAGGCGCGCTCGAGCGGCAGTCGCGCACAAAGGGGACCAGAGAGATCACACCAGAGGCCTTTTGGCATTGGCCTTCCTACGTACGAGGGTTTCCCAAATTCAGGGTTATCTTTTCGGGTGTCCCCAAAATATGGATTATAGTATGTTGGAGTCCATATAAGGGTCCCCGTACGTATGATGAAGACTATCACAATGGAAAGTAGGTGATTCATTTTGCAGTTTCCGAGAAAGCCCGAAATGAAAGCAAAGCACCACTAGACAGCGCCGCCTTGCGACTCAGCATGGAGTTGTCGAGGGGAACTCTTTTGCCGGTCGAGCATTTGTTTGCTGCGAGTCAAAGGGCGACGCCCCGTGCAGAAGGTTGTTAGTAACCTGAAATGAGTCAAACATGGGCTGCTGTTTTTCTGTCATATTTGCAGACCTTCTTCCTGTTCGAGCACTTTGGCTCCAGAAGGTCTAGGCCATTTGAACTTGTGCACCATACGCCACAAGAAGGATCCCCCCGGGGACTTCTGGTGGAAGAGGGACATCGTTGACAAAGACCAGCAGCTTGCAAAGGCTTAGAGTCAGGGATTGTGGGTAACGGTTCTGAGGATGATCAGACACATTGTTGCGCGGACTATTCTTAATTACTTTCCCTATAGTTAGTTTTCTTCTTATTCTTCTTCTTCTTACTACTGCTACTACTACTACTGCTGCTACTACTACTACTAGTACTACTACTACTACTACTACTATTATTCTGACGATTATTACTGATGATGGAGGTCTTGAACACCCAGGTATGGCCACACGCCTGCAGCCGGATGTCCTTCCTTCGGAAGGGCATTTTGCCAGGGTATCCTCAAGGGCTCCTATGTAGTACCTTTTTGGGTTTCTTATGGTTTTTTGGCAAGGGATTCTAGTATACAACCCGAAAAAGGAGGGTTTGGGTAATTATGCCCCAAAAGGTCGGGCATCCGGGATAAATATGGAACTGTGGTCCAGCCCCACGTAATGTCCTTAGAGCAGCAATTTTCAGATGCGGTGGCACTTCGCACAGATTAAACCCTCAGAAACAAGGAGGACATGCATTTGAGGCTGGTAAGGATGCTCCAGAACGTTTGAATGCTTTCTGAGATGCGCGAAAAACTGCAGCCTTATTGATATTCATCCTGGTTCTAGTAGGGCTGCTGGCTGTAACCCCGTCTGCAGGCAACACTCACTGTGCCAACGGAGTGGCTAAAGTTGGTGGAGCTAAAGGAGCCCTGGAAGTCAGGAACAGTCTGTGTAAGTTTAGGGTTTATAGGGTTTAGGGTTTAGGGTGGGCATGGGTGGGCTTAGGGATTCAGGGTTTCAATCGTAGTGTTTGAGGGATGATAGATTTCAGGCTACGGCTGCTACAGTTTGACAGTAACTCGCCCTCAGGATCCTATGTAGCTTTTTGGGGCATGTTGCGCGAAGCCCTTGCAAAAAGGTGATGAGAACGACAACGAACTGCATACGAGGAGTTTTGTTGATAGAAGATCGTTGTTATTGTAATTGGCTCATGGAGTTGAGAGTTGAGGCTCAGTGCTTTTGTGCTTGGGATTGGGGACTATCCTGGATTGGATGGAGCCCAAACCTGGGAGACCCCAACAAGTCTGCCCTTTCACAAAAAAGTTCTATCTTCTCAAGGAGGTTCATGCGAGTTCGCGCTTAGGATATGTAGTGTGATCGTTAAGCGTTGGAGCTTAGGGGTCAGAGTCTCCGGACCTCGGATTTGGAGCTCAACCGATGCCGCTTAGCAGGTGGAATTTGCTTGAGTCTGCCTGAGGGTTCTAGAAATTGAGTAGGCGCTGAATGGGAGGTAGTGTGATTAATGATCTGTGGCGCTAGGGGGAGTGATATTTTAAGGTTGGCTTTATATTTATGGGTTCTGAAAGTTATATACAAAAATATGTTATTATTAAAGAAGATGCGAGCTAGGCCTTTTCCCGTCTGCGGCACGTTGAGCAGACTTCACGCTTGGGCAATTTCTAATGTTGAGGTCCGTGTGGGCGCCAATCAAGCCAGACCAAGGGTGCCCCAGATGACGCTTTGCAGGGGGTTCTCGTCTTTGAAGGGATCCTTGTAGAATTTTGGGGCGCCTTTTTTTCATTTTACTTCTTTTACAGTCGCACCAGCTCCTCAACATGTAGTGCGCTCCCGCCAGGCACCCAAGGTTCCAACCCACTGGAAACGAATCCCTGGAAGGGAAGCAACAAGAGAATCCGAGAGGAGACTGCTCAGCCGCACTCCAAGTTCCTCTTGCTGGCCGCGCCCTGAAGACTTACAGGACAAAAGCTCTGCAGTTGCGGCTGGTATAGTAGGACATTTTGAGTTGGTGAAGCGAACCGAGTATACTTAGACGCATTCAGGTCCACCGACTCTGGGGCCCAAGCACACTTGAGATGGTGTTTTGGATCTTTGAGGTTGAAGGTCTTACGGCTGTGGATTGAAATGTTGACATTAAGGGGCTTGAAGATGGCAGGTGTCGTGGACCCTACGGGAGCCTTTTTTTGAATCTGGTGGCTGAGGTCTTGCACACCGGTATCGGAGAAACCGACTTGTTGGGGTCCATGACAGTCAAGTACGGACCCTTGGCTGTCCAAGCTAGGATGCCATGAACGGCTTTAAACCCCAGGGAGGTCTGGGAGTTACGCTGGAACTGTTGGCGGTGGCAAGGGGGTGGGTGCCTGGCATGCCTGGCAGAGGGCTGAACAACAAATTCGAGGGGCTTGTTATTCGACTTACATCCCTGTCCTCGCCTCCTACTCAACATTTTTTGATCGGGGCTCAGCTACGTAGAGTCGGATTCGTTGCCTATAGAGCCATTGCCGAACAGCAGAGGGCAAAAACAAGAAAGGTTTAGTGAGACTATTGCGAAAGACTCCGTGACACCCATATGCGGCGCACGCAAAACTGTTAGATGCGAAGCCTGGTGGTAGTTTCCCTAGATAGGGGGAACCACTATACACCCCAAAATGCTGGGGACCCCAAAATGGTACACCTATGTGAGAAAACCCCTGGCTGTTGAGCATTCTCGGAGTTCCCGGATCGTAAACCTGAAGTCCATGGCTTGGGTCATTCCCCCTCATAGTCACTGTCCTCAAGGGCATCTTATTGAAAAGGCTGTTCTATCTCTTGTTTCCTGCGGCAACTGTTGGTGTGAGAGGGAATGGCCTAGCTCTTATAAGCGCCTATATAAACCAGTTTCCATGGCATTTCCCATGTTCTTGTCCATTAGATTCTCCATTATTCGGGTGATGGTGGCAATTGCTGCTGTTAGGGGATTGAGTTGCTGTTAAGCAACTTAATTCAAGTTACTACATCGGGGAAAACATATTAAGTACAATGTGTATCCATTATGGTCACTTAATTGAAGTTCCTTAACAGAAACCCAGTTGACCTAAGACATGCCGAGGAAAAATCTTCTTCTGGGACACCTTTGACCACATCCTCGCTGCCGCGCAAGGCAAGTTGATCGAAAAGGCCTTGGGATCCTATGAGCTAAGGGTTTAGGGTTCAGGGTTTGGGGTTTAGGGTGTCTAAACTCCTTGAAGGGGGGTTATATATTGGATTATATATGGGCTAAACTCCTTAAAATGGGGGTTCTATAGGGGGTTATTATATAGTCTAAACTCCTTAAAGGGGGCTATATTGCGGATTATATGGGGGACCAATTATATGGGTCATCAAGGGGCATACTATGAGTTTAGACTATAGCTCATATTGATGACATGTTGATTCTGGTATCAACACCCAAGAGTAGCAGTCATATGACAGCTATAGGCACAAAGCTTTGACCTTTTGGAGGTTTGGGGTCACCAAAACCCGAGGCTCAAAATTGCCCAAAGTAGGACTACTCATAGATTTTCAGCTCGCGCCGTAGGCATTATTCGCCCCAGGGAGAGCCTGCTCTTTTTCGGGGCTCTGGGCTCAAGGTTCGAAGACTTTAAGTTTATACCCTTAAGGTTTGCAACCTTGGATTTAGAGTTTAGGGTTCAGGGTTGAGGGTTTAGGGTTGGGTTTGGGGTCCCAAGCAAGTCAGGGGCTGGATACCATGGCTTAAGGATCAAAAGCTCCCTGAAAGGTTGTAGGTCATTGTTGGGAGTGGTTGGCTTTTCTGGGAATATAACCCAGTACAGTGGGTTCTCAAAATGGGCCCTGTCATACCTCTCAGCCGCGACAAAGCAACTAGCAATACCAGTTCCTTCAAGCCGCACAAGCCCCACGCACTTCCCCAACACCTACACAACAATCCCTTCAACCAAATTGCCGACCCGTTTGTTGTGGACTTGCCCGAGCCTAAACCTTGCACGCCAGCTCTGTGTTTGAAACCCTCACCCCAAGTAACAACTTGAACCCTACCTGTAACCCATCAGGGGGCTACCGCCAAACCCCTCGCAATCATGCAACATGTGCAGGCCACGCCCAAGCCAGATCTCCTCGTGCTGAAGGATGTGAATGTCCAGGTGATCGAGGACCGAGCCATTTTTAAGATTTTCAAAGCTTGGGGGTCCCGTTTTGGCCGTGGGTACAGTTGGAACGGGATTTGCTGTAAAGGAGCCTCAAAGACAATACGCACGAATTAGGAGTTGCATAATCCCTGTCCTCAGGAAGCTTCAGAGATATGAGGATGGAAGGTTTGTACTCAGCCCTTGACGGAAATCCAAAGCTGCCCAGAGCTTTCACCACAGGGGCATCTTTCTTCAGCCGGCCCCCGGTAGCATTTTGCAATCAAAACCTTGACCCTGAACGCCTTTTGCATGTAAAGGGTTTGGTTTGTTGGTGCTTGCCAGGACGCTGAGAAGAAGCTCCCAGGGAAGAGCGGTCGCAGATCCTCCAAGGGATCCACTGGGGTCGGGAATGCCATCTTTGGAACTGATGGCAGCTAGAGCTGAGACATGGGAGCTTAGGAAAAAGGATTTTGGTAACCCAACATGAGGACCCTATGACTATCATATGGCTGTGATTCTAACACACTGGGTTTGTAACAGCCTTAGGTGGCCATTCCGCAACATAGGTTTGTACCAGAAACGCCTGGCTTGCGACAAACACCTTTGCGACAAGGTTCTTGGCATACGTGCGCCAAGCATTGGCGACAAGGGTATTTAACAACAGGCCGCGACAAAGGGGTATGTAGCAGGGGGTGGGGGGGGTGGGCCCGCGACAACACGGGGTTTTAATTCACAGCCATATGATGGTTATAGGGTCCTAATTGTGGGGGTTGGGTTACTAAAATCCCCTTACTAATTTGGACATGCTATGGCTCGTTCTGTTTTGGGGGTACTCCCCGAGGTTGTCCCAGATTTGGGGAAATTTTTCGGGCTGCTAAAGGAACGATTGCTGCCCTGCTGGACTTATGACGACACGATTTTACGATGCATTGTTGTAAGGCCCATTTTGGAGCATTCCAGGGTACTAACTTCGTACAGCCTAAACCTTAGCCTGTAGATGTCTTTAGAATATGCCCAAAGCCCTGAGCAAATTGCTCGGATCAAATTGTAGCGACCTCATCCCCAAAATTGTGGTTTATATCGAAAACAGTCCCAAGGTCGCTCAATTCCAGCTTCGAAAATTAGATGGTCGGCTTGCTGTACTGCGCCACTAACTGAGGCAGCAAATGGGGCACTGTTGTTGCAGATGAAGGAAGGGTGCGGCAGCCTCAGAGACTACTAGGTCCCTACGGTTGGGCTTGTAGGGCCAGCAAGGATGTACGAAACCTCGATAAACACATGCTGCGTATAGTATATGCCCATACGCTTCAGGGTTTCGGGAGTCAGGCGTTGGGTAACCTTTCTTCCAGCTCTGCTTTGCACGAGCACCCCTGAAACATGAGATGCTTGTTAGGTGGGGTATTTTACACAGCTACCTACTTCGCGTGCGTACTTCGGATTAGGATCCCATTCTTGCAGCCCCTGAATAAGGGAGGCATCGAGCCCTGGCAGGAGAATTATTTACTTAGTCCTGGCTGCCTACCCCTTTGGTTGAACGGTTGAACCCTGCTAACTCTCAGACGGGTTACCCCAAGGATAGGATGCCAACTCCTCAATGCTAGTATGGTGCCATTACATACTCCCAAAGGCCAAATGCAGACCTATGACTAATAAACCCTCCCTATTCAGGGCCTTAATATTCGGATCCCTATTTTCATCCCCATTGAGGGGAAGGGGTTGATTAATTAGGGGTCTACATGATTCAGCATTGCTCTTGACAAAGCTCCAAGTCCGAATCATTGCTCTGGGATGGCACTCGAAAAAGTTTACACTTATGTTGGGATTATATTGGGAGAATGGAAAGGAAAATGGGAACTACTATAGTTTAGGAGGACCTCCCACCCTGTAATAGTGGTATAATATAAGAGGACCCTAATAATCCCCATTGTTCCTTATAGTCACTATTGCTGGGTGGAGGGGTCCACCTAAACTATAGCATATTTGGGGTTATATAGGGTTCGTTGAGGTTTAGGCTCGTTGTTTCTGGCAACTTTCAGAGAATGATTCTGCCCGTTTCTTCTCAGCAGCGGAAGGATGTCTTGAGTTGAGGGCTTAGATTTACAGCTTGGTACTTACTCCAGTTGCTTCAAGAACTGTGGGTGTTTGGGCTTTCTGCTGTGAAAGGGCTAGGAGCCCCTAAGTTAGGAATTGATCTCAAGTCACCACCATCGGGAAACCATGTTACTTACTAAGAATCCTTATACCCTATTAGGGCAAGTTAGATCAAATGGTAGTTTCCCAAAATAAGGGGACCCTAATACAGACCCCGAAATACTATAGTCCTTANNTTTGGGAAACCCCCAAATTGTTCTTCACAGTAACCCAGGATTGATCCAACAAAACAAGGTGGAAGCTGGACAGCGGCAGAATTGCGAAGAAGGAGACAGAGGGTGAGAAGTGGACTTGGGCCGGTGGTGCAAGCACCAAGGGAGATGAAGGTCAGGAGCCCGCAACAGGGATGGAGTTTTCTGGGCGTTTTAGGGATCATGTTGTATGGGCTATATAAGGACACACAGGGTGGAGTATGACCCTTAATTATCCATCCGTGCCTTCGGGGGTGATCATGAAGGGTGTGTTTGCGGAAGGCTCTTCGCATGGGACGTTGTTTTTTCTGACTAGCCTCACCCGGCTCGTTGCTTGGCAGGTCACAGGTGGCAGTTGCGCAAACAAGGGTGCCTTACGGCCTTAGGTGTATGTTGGGATTGCAAGACCGTACAAGGTGTCTAGTTACCGCCAGCAAAGCCCAAGCAGCCATTGCAACGGAGAGAAGCCTCG